TCTTACATGGCATGTAACTTTTTTCTAAGAAACCCAAAGCATTGTGGGTGCTCTTAACAATAAATTTTCATAAACCTCATTTTACACTTCCCAACATGCCACATCATTCAAAACCTCATTCTTACTCCTACACACATAAACCTCCAATAATAATAAAATCTATAAACCTCTTTTGTATGGTCCCACATGTTTCCCACTCAACATTATACTCTTATATTTTTACTAATATTTTTACATTACAATTCCACTTTTTGTACTTTTAATATTTTTTATTGAGGTTTATATGAGGTTTAAGAATGTAAACCTAGTTTACATTTGTAAACCTTAAACCTTCCTCCTCTAGTAGTTAAACCTCTAAAAGTGAAGTTTATAAACCTCACTAAAACCTCTTGTTAAAGATGCCCTTACGATTGTATGTAATATACGCGGCGGCTATATAGTGCCAATCAAAAGATTTTTATTATGTAACCCATATATGTACACCACAGTCATCAACTAGGGCTGCAAACGAGTTGAGTTCGAGCGGCAATCGGACTTATATTTTGCTTTGTCGAGTGCCTCGAGATATACATAAATTATTAAAGTACTCTTTATTATATATATTAACAATTTAACATAGATGCTTAATGGTAATTTTACCTTTCCCTTAAAAAAATTCGAGTCGAGTTCGAGCATTTTGATTTCGAGTCGAGCTCGAGTATTGTAATTTTTTATCGAGTCAAGCTCGAGCCTTAAAAATCGATCTCGAGCTCCAGTAGCTAAAAAAAACTCAATCCTGTTCGACTCGGCTCGGCTCGGCTCGTTTGCCACCTTAGTCCTGATGTATATAAATATATTTGCGAGAGCTGCTATAGTCCCGTTAACGAACCATTCCGTCGGAGTTTGTAAATGTTAGATTATCACGTAATCGTCAGAAATTGTTGATCTTACAAACACTGACGTAATAATTATGTAACAGAACCATAGTATTTTCCTATATTTGCATTTGTATTTTCGTGTTAATTTAACATTATGAATTTTGAGACAGCGCAAAATTCGAACGAGACCACGTGTACGTCACATGTAAAGAGGTGGGTTTTATAATATACTTCATTCATGTTAAATATCTTATTAAAAATGTTTGGTGACAATGCTGAAAATATAAGCCTCGTTTTTAAGTTTTAACTATTGATGCTCCATATAGTTTAATTAAAAATAAATAAAATAACACAAAAGTCGTCCCAAAATCCCGAGAAGCACACATATCTATATTAGTATATTTAATTAACTTCTACTAGCTCTTTATCAATTACCACTTCGAATTTCTGCTACATTTAAACACCACCTAGACCTTTAGTTATCAACGAAAACAAATAATTCGCCACAAAAATTGACTCACGATAATCGCGATCAATCACTACGTCTCATTGTCGACCAAATAGCTCTTTTATACCCTTCAAAATACCACTATTTATCTTTACTATATAATTTATTATATCCATCGATATTTCAATCATCAATCATAAACTATCTATTATAAGCAAAATTCTGCTTAAACAATAAGCTAATTTATCAATTACCATTTGAAAATTTTAGCTACATTTACCAAAGTTACATCAATCTTCTATTTTCCATTGACTTTATATACCAAATTCAATTGCATTACTTGGATTAGGGACCGATTTGTGTTTGTTGATACTTATTTATGTGTTTTTTTGTCGGCTAGGTGGCTTTATGGGCGTCGTGTGGGTGTTGAATAAACCAATTTTCATGCTCCATTTCATAGACGAATTGCGCTCGAATTTGAGCTCAAGACTTTTCTAATCGAGTCGAACTCAATTTGTTGAGTTAATAGGACGATAGACAAATTCGAGCTAGACTCGTTAAAATTAGGTTATAAATTGATGTATTGTTTGGTAAATATAGTATGATGATTAGTGGCATTCGTTCAGCATTAATTAATTTATTAAAATATCAAAATTAGGCTGTCAAAGCATATTATAAGGGATTTAATAGTTCGTTGAGGTAATATATATGCTTTCATCATTTATTGCAACCCTTGATTATTGCCCTCATCATAGGACTAATTCCTTATAATGTTTTTTTTTTCAAGACACATACATTATTTTCAATAATCTTTCATCACATAAAACCGTAAATTGCTAGAATTATAATAATTCTCAAATTTAATTTGCATTATTGGCTTTTAATCTAGTCATAATATTGTATCAATTGCTTAGA